TAAAACAAGGATACAAAATTTGCATACACCATAACATAAATAACTAAATACTGTTAAAATATTGTATGTATATATACACATAGTATATATTCCACATAAATATACATACTCATCCATAGGTCTAAAAGTAATTTACATATTTTCTATAATGAATGAGTAGTATTTTAAAAATGAGTCAAAATAAGCATTATTAAAAAAAAAACCAACCCTACAGACTTAATTGTTGTTGTTAAGTGCTGTCAAATCGATTCTGACCCATAGCGACCCTGTACAGGGTAACCGAGGCTGTAAATCTTTACGGGAGCAGAAAGCCTCATCTTTCTCCCATGGAACAGCTGGTAGTTTTGAACTACTGACCTTAAGGTTCTCAGCCCGATTCGTATCCACTACGCTACCAGAACTCCTTAGAGACTTAATTAAAGCCTCATTATAACATTTCCATTGTTGTATGATTCAGGACAACCTGATAGGTCAAACTGCATGTGATGAAGTTCTTGTGGTGTCTCTGTAATTAGCATTTTTTGGATAGCAGCTGAGATTTGCCTTACAACAAATTGCATAACAGAGCAGATGCAGACACAGAGATGACATGACAGGATAGTATTTTTGTATGTAACCACAGCTAGAGTGGGATGATAATACAGTAGAAGTCTCTTTCAGACTCTAGTTGATTTCCAATAAAGATTAATATTTTGGCAAAAAAAATCAGAGCAGCTAGCAATTTTAGTGATGAGATTTCAAAGGAATTAAAATATCTATGTTTCTCCCACAGAATATTTTATAAATCCATGTTAATCTCACATTTATAAAATCATTGCTTTTTTTTTTTCTAATTTTTCTTTTCCTTCAAAATTGGAACGTTTGAATTATGGTGCTGGAGAAGAATATTCATAGTACCACGGATTGCAAGAACAACAAATAAATCTGCATTGGAAGACGTATAGCCAGAAGCTTCCTTAGAAGCCAGGACAGCAAAATTTCATCTCTCATACTTTAGACATGTTAACAGGAAAGGCCAGTCCTTGGAGACATCATGCTTGGTAAAGTGGAGAGGCAATGAAAAAGAGGAAGAGCCCAATGAGATGGAATGACACAGTGTCAGCAGCAATGGGCTCCAAAGTAAAGACGAAGGATGGCGCAGGAATAGGCAGTGTTTCATTCTGTTGTGCATGGGGTTACTATGAGTCCATACCAACTTGTCGGCACCTAACAACAGCCACCACCACCACCATTTCTTGACCAAGCGTGGCAAAGCTACATTTTTTTATTCTAGTCAGCCCTGGAATGAGAGTATTGTTCTTTTTGCTTCTGGCTTTCCATCTCTTTTTATTTATTTACATTTTTTATTACCTTAATTAAGGTAGTCCTTACTTCCCTACATGGGCCTTGATCTTAATCTTCCTATCTGTTTTTCAATGTACTAAGAAAGGAAGTGAAAAACGAAGTCATGTTTGTACTAGCTAGGTAGAACTATTTGTATAATTTAGTCACTTATGGGCACAGACAGTGTCTCTGAATACATGTATTCTGATATATGTATATTTCAGAGTCCTTCTATGGCGCTATGGGCTAATGCATCAGACTGCAAAGTCGTTTGAACTGCAAGGTCGGTGGTTCAAGCTCACCAGCTGCTCCTTGGAAACCCTATACAGGGTTGCTATGGGTAGGAATCAACTCGATGGCAATCAACAACAACAATATATGTATTTCCTTCCTGCCCAACAACTATTCTGTTTCCATGGGGATTGGCATCTTCTGTGTAAACAACATAGAAGCTGTCTATGAGCTGTGGCTAGCACAACTGGGATGATACAATAACTTTTATTTATTGCAGTAAGCAAAATATCAAAAGGATCATACTAAACAGAAGTATTTGAACACAGAGTGTGTTGACCAGCAAAACAAAACACAACAAAATAAAAAGATGAAGGGCTACATTAGAGAGCTTGTTTTAAAAATAGTATATATAACATCATTGATGTGAATAATTAGAGTCTTCTATAAGCTATGGAGGAGCTCTGGTAGCGTAGTGGTTACGAATCGGGCTGCGAACCTTAAGGTCAGCGGTTCGAAACTACCAGCTGCTCTGCGGGAGAAAGATGAGGCTTTCTACTCCCGTAAATATTTACACCCTCGGAAACCCTGTATAGGGTCGCTATGGGTCGGACCTGACTCGATGGCACTTAACAACAACATAAGCTATGGGTTGGTACCGACTCGATGGCACCTAACAACAACAACAACAAATAAGCTACTTGGCCCACTTGACTCCACAGAGAAGATCTATAAATAGATGTTTGTGCAAACAAGTATCTATATGAAAAAGGAACACTCTCTCAATGATGTTAGATTTGGCCTGTGTATTGTTAATGAGACAGATTGAGGTCATTAGCAAATCAAATGAGCTACATGTACAAATATGCATTTGGTATATTTCTGTGCTTTTCTCTAAATTCTAGACCAGTTCTTCCCAGAGAACAGCAGGATAATACAAAGGCTATCGGAACAACTTTTGGTGAGGTATCTATCTCCACATAATGTAAGAGTTGACATTTAAATGGAACTACTCATTTTAACATATGAATATCATAGCCTATTTTCTGCAATACGAAAACTGATTCAGAATAATGCTTTGTTTCCTTCCAAAGAAAATCACTGTATTTTTTGTATTTTCGTTTAAAGTAGTTGCTGTTGTTAAGTGCTGGCGAGTTGGTTCTGACCCATAGGAACACTGTACAGAGTTTTCGAGGAGCATGTGGTGAGCTTGAACTGCTGACCTTGAGGATCAAACTGACTGTGCACACTCCAGTGCTTTAACCCACAGCACCAAAAGAAACCACAATCTACACACACACACACACAAAATCTATCTATCTATCTATCTATCTATCTATCTATCTATCTATCTATCTATTATGTGTTCATAGAATTCTTCTTTTAGAAAATAAGGGTTCAGTTATGTTTAAAGCTCTGAATATATGTTACAAAACAGTGAAAGGTAAATGAATAACATAATATGAAATTATCTTCAGTGGTGTTATGTACATCCATATGTCTCACTAAACTCTCTGCCATCAAGTCAATTCCAACTCATAGTGACCGTACAGGAATGGGTGGAACTATTATCAATATTGGAGCAGTAGCAGACTCTCACATCTTTCTCTCACGGAGTGGCTGGTTGGGTTAAATTACTGACCTTTTGATTAGCAGTCAAGGGCTTAACCACTGCGGTATCAATACTGCTCTGTATCCATAAACAGAGGTTTCGTTACAGGTACTACAAAGCTACTGTAAATGTTAGATTTAATCTGTTCTTTCCAAATAGCAGGATTTAGAGGGTGTTACTCACTGTAGTACAAATTGGGCTGCGAACCTTAAGGCCAGCAGTTCGAAACTATCAGCCGTTCCGCAGGAGAAAGATGAGGCTTTCTGCTCCGTAAAGATTTACAGCCTTGGAAACCCTGTACAGGGTCGCTATGGGTCGGAACCGACTCAGAGGCACATAACAACAACAACAACAACAAAAACTCACTGTAGGATAATTCACTGGACTTCAAGGTCGGTGAGCCATAAGGTCGGTGGATCAAGCTCACCAGGCACTCCTCAGAAATCTGATACAAGATCCCTGTGAGTCAGAACCGACTCCACAGCACTTAACAACAACAATTTATGGATGCAGGATATTACGTATTCATATGCAACATCCCATAAATCCTACTACTTGGAAAGAACATATTGCATTTAACGTTTTATGGTTACTTTGTACAATTAATAACAAAACCTCTGGATTTCCATCTTCCAGCAATTTCAATATTTCCCTTGATAAACATGAAAAAAGAAAAACTTAGTCTAGCCTCAGTTTCCATAGAAACGCAGTTTTACTAAATGCATCTATTCAATGGTGGTCTTCAGATCATAAATACCAGTATATGGAAATGTATTCTAAGACTACTCAAATTATTTCAAAGACACACATGACAAATTCAATGTCAAAAATTTCTACTTTACGTCTGATCAAATTTCAGTACAAAATATCTTTAGATTTTAATTATATTTTACATACTTCTTTCAGAACGCATTTCCCCCCTTTCAAAAGTCTGATTTCTAAAATTTTGCAAAAAGCTGTTACTACAAAAGTGATATGTTTGACCTAAGTCTATTATGAGATATGTTGGAGAATTCCAGTAGTAGTTTACAATGTCCAAGAATCTAAAATTTTGGCATGTTGCTAATGAGTATACTGTTGATTTCCTGTACACTGTAGAAAGATAGCTGTATCAACCAAACGAATGGTTTAAAATAAATCATATCTAAGTAAAAAGTGATTTGATAATATCACACACTCCAACCCCTAACACAAAGAATCCTCTTTCTAACAATGGGTAAGAAACCAAGATGCCGGAGAGTACTTTTTCAGTGCCAGCACATGCAGTATATGACATACAAACATCAAACATTATCACTTCAAATAAATATAAAAAAGTAAGAACGATGCTTTCTCAACTCATCAGAAAGCAGCTTAATACAAAACTACAAAAGCATAAGACAATAATCATTCCTACCTTGCTGACGACAAAGAATGACTTACAGAGGCAAGATGCAGGTTTAATTCTTAATTTCTTTTTCTTGAAGTTCAAATATAGTTAATGAACAAACCATACAAACATATATGAATTTAAATGGTAAAGGTCATTAGATTTCCAAAATAGACCATTGAATGCTTCTAATGATTACACTTGCAGTTATTTGTACTACACATAAAAGTCACAATATTTCATGAATTAAAGCAAGAAACAAAAATCTAAAGAAATTAAATCACACTATTCAATTTTACTTTCAAGGCTGAAGTGTAATAATTGTATGATACAGAATTATATAAATTCATACTGTTGGGAGCTGATAAAAAGAGAAATGAAGTATCTCAATAACTTTACAATTTGGTTGCCCATTAGGATAATGAATAATTTTCTAAGCCTAGTTACAGAAGTAAGCATACATACCCTGGTCTAACACGTCCTCCTCTTCCCATTTTGGTTGCTGTAGTAAAGAATGCTTATTTTTGTTTTCTGTTTCTGTAAAAATATCAAAGAAGCTTAGCATAAATTTACAGTATATATTACACATTTTAAATATTGGAAATATTCCATTAACATAAAAATATTATTCAGAATCTTGTGTTTCATAAAAACAAGTTTCAAGAATTTATATGCTGGAAATACTCTAATTCATATGTACACATACAAAAACCAACACAGTCACCTTTTATCAGCCTTCTGACTTAATAACTAGGTCAATTACCTCTTGAGTAATATATATAAGTATGTATATTATAGAATTGTACTATTCTTTGAGTAATATGTATATATATTATATAATTTTACATACAATTTATAGATTAAAAATAATATATATTATAGAATTTTTAATATATGAACAAAACTGCTGGTATGTATTTTTTTATGTTGATTTTAATAATATTTAAGAATATTTTGAGAGTATTTTAGGGCATAGTCTATGTATGTATGTGTATCTTAATAAATGTCCTTATTGCTATGCTGGCTTTTCTAATAAAATCGCAACTGGAGAGAAGAGGCTGCTTTGGTAATTTAACACTGAACATGTAAAAATCAGCAAACTCTTAGTATCCAATAAAACAAGGTGTGGGGTTTGCAACTTTAAAGAAAGAGTAGTCAGAAACCCCATTTTGTAGATCCACAACACGTTAAAGAACAGTTTTGGAAGTGAGACTAAAAGGCCAGAGTAGAAATGGCTCATAAGTCAAGAATTATTCTTTGCTTGAATAGGTCCACTGAAAAGATAAAGTATGGTTTGAAATGATAATAACTTTCTTGGCAAACTGTAAAACTTTTTAGAACATGGTGCATAAATTCATAAATTGCATAGGTAATTACTGCTTATGGGAGGAATGAGATGGTGAAACTTGAAAACATTAAGTAAATGATGAAAAGTCTACATTTGTGGTCCTCTTTATCACTGGTTAAGATTTTTCATGGCCACTGTTTCAATGAGAGTAAACCAGCAAAAGAAGGTAAGACATGAAAAACACAAAGAAGGGAATAAGAGTATTTGCTCATGTGATGGTTTGAAAGATAGGAATAAAGATGATTTTGAATATTAATCACATAGTCAAGTGAAATATAGGGAATACAAAATTATATTCTACTTTAAATGAAACACTAGTTTTACCTTTGTGATGGCCATGCATCATAACCATATCAGACTTCACAGGAATTGGAATATTGGCCTCTGGTGGTATAGTTCTGAACATGTCGGGGACTACATTCTGTGTACAAGTCATGAATGAAACGGCATGCTTAGCTTCCATGTAATACATAATGTATAAGTTGCACATTTCATAACTAGATGTGCCACTGCAGACAAAAAAAAAAAAAACATATTAGCCATTCACATAAAACATTCCATATCAAGGAATATGCAACAACAAATCTGCAACCAGTGGATTCAAAGTAGCAAATGTGCATTTAATTTATAGCTTTAATTAAGCCCCATCAGAGATTTCAGTATGAAAAGCACACTGTAAAAACATATATCCACATAATAATAGAGGATCAGTCTGCAGTCACTCCATGAGTATCACCAAATACTAGAGATGGTTATTTTTAAGTAGCTGAGAGACATTTGCTTTTTCTCTTCTAACTTGTTTTCCTTCATTCTTTCATTTGCTAAAACTCAAAAACTGAGCAAAGTAAGGAAAAATATACAACAATAACAGCAGCCCGACTGATTATTACAAGAACAAGCAAGTTGCTCGCCCAGGAGACATCAAAGCAAGTGGTCAGATCCCCTCAGGGCAAACTCATTCCAAGACTAAGACACAATGGAATACAGGAGCAGACAGGCGCGATTGGATTGGTGACCACTTTCATCACAGATAAGGAGAAATGAGGGGAAAACAGCAATGAAGCTGCCAGCTAAGCCCTACAAGGTTCAATAGACTCCTGTGAACCTGGGTGGAGACCTGGATGGCCAGTAGTATGGCAAGACCTGGGGACTCTTAGGCCCAGAGTCAGTGGAGAGTGAAGTGCCCAGCTGATAAGAAGAGAGGGCATATACATAAGAATACCCACACTTGCTGATAATACCCACATGACCTGGCTTCAATGACTGCATGATGAGAGCTCAACTAGAAGAAGAAATAAGAGGAAAAAAAGAGTAGGATCTGATACAATTTGATGAACTTGACCTCCTACACCTATGGATGCAGTAGCTCAAAAGAGGAAACGAATCTTTACAGCGAAGATCATTCCCACCCCCTCCATACACAGACTAGACAGGGATGGGCAAGTTGGACATTGGCTACCCAAAATCAAGGGGCTACAAAGGCAAGAAGTGACTGGCTTACAAGCTTTCAAGAGGAAACATAGATCCAGAGGGCATGGAGGAAGGTAGAATCTTCACTGAGTAGTATCCAATCTGTCTAGGTGGGATTGACGAAAGTAAATGCAGATAGGTCTCTTGTGATACAATAGTGAATAATTGTTATCAGGACTGATTGTGAGGGTTGGAAATGTTAAGCTAGATGTTTTGTAGCAAGGATGAGAGTGATTAACATTGCAGTCTAGGAGCGGAGGTCCCTGGAACCATCAAGGTGGAAGAGCGGTGAGCAGAACCCTACCCAGAGAAGCAATGATGCCAGAGATGGAGGCAAAGATGATGACATGGAGAGATGGAGCAGCTGGGGACTGTAGACCCAGAGAGGGAGAGTGACTGTGTGCTGACGACTTGGGGGGCGGGGGGAGCAGGCTTGCATGGTTGGCTGATGATGCATGGAAGGGACTGTAACCAAGGCAATGGAACGAATACACGATAGGATGAATGTAAAGCTAATATTCTCCCATGTAAACTATCACATAAGTCACAATATAACCTTTTTTTTAAAGATTGGGCAAAGTACATTTCAATAAAAATATCTTATTTCCTTAACAACAATACAACTCAGAATACTTCAGCAGACAATTATTGTTGTTAAGTGTACCACAGAACAAAACACTGCTCAGTTCTGTGCCAACCTCACAATTGTTGCTACATTTGAGAACATCACTTCTGCTACTGTGCCAATTCATCTCACTGGGGTTCTTCCTCTTTTTCTCCAATCCTCCAATTTACCAAACATGATATCCTTTCCCAGGGACTGGTCTTTCCTGACAATATGTGTGAAGTATGAGAGATAAAATCTGGTCATTCTGGCTTCCAAGGAGCATTCTGGCTGTTCTTCTTCCAACACAGATTTGTTTGTTCTTTTGGCAGCGCCTGGCACTTTTAATATTCTCCTCCAACACCATAGCACAAATCCATCAATTCTTCTATGGTCTTCCTTATTCACTATACAATTATCACATGCATCCGAGGTGACTGAAAATGCCATGGCTTAGGTCAGGCGCACCTTAGTCCTCAAACTGACGTATTTGCTCTTGAACATTTTAAAGAGGTCTTGTGCCTAATATAAATTTGATTTCTTGATTGTTGTTTCCATAAGTGTTGATGATTGATCCAAGGAAAATGACGTATTTTGACAACTTAAACCTCCATTTATGTGGATGTTGTTTATTGGTCCAATGATGAGGTTTTGTTTTCTTTACATTGAGGTGCAACCCATACCGAAGGCTGTGGTCTTTGATCTTCATCAATATGTATTTTAAGTCCTCTTCACTTTCAGCAAGCAAGGTTGTATCATCTGCATATCGAAGGTTGTTAATGAGTCTTCCTCCAATCCTGATGCCACATTTTTCTTCATATAATTTATCTTCCTGGATTATTTCCTCAGCACACAGATTGAGTAAGGATGGTGAAAGAAAGAAGCCTGGTGCACACCTTTCCTAATTTTAAACAATTCAGTATTCCCTTGTTCTGTTTGAACAAACTGTCTCTTGGACTATGTACAGTTCCTCATGATCACAAATTAGTGTTCCATATTGCTCACTTTTTGCAATGCAGTCCATAGCTTGTGAAGATCCACACAATTGATAGCCTATGCATAGTTAATAAAGCACAGTAAACATTTTTGGTATTTGCAAATCTTCTAAAATGGCCATTCCCACCAAACACAGCGTCTGGAAACTTGCTTTTGGTTGACTATTTCCTCATGGCCAGACAAATTTATCATCATACTCTGACGCTAAAATATCCTAAGTCTATCCCTGACATCTAACTTGGCAACTGGATGGCTAAAGCTGAGAAGAAAAGAATGCCTCAAGAGGGAAATAACATGAAATCAGCACTAATCTCTTCCAGGGACTGGAACATGATTGGAGCAATGCGGTACAAATAAATAACTCAGAGATAAAAATAGATTTTAAAGTAGCAAATTTAAAACAATAAAGTTCCAAATAACATAAATAATGCTAAAAGTTTATAAAACATATTTTTCTCTTCCATAGTTCACAGAGAGTATTAGGTGTTTCATTCTCTTTTCTATTATTAGGAAGGAGTTGACTAGGTACACCTTCACAAAACTTCTATATACCAAAATAGCCTGGGCAAAGGAACACCTCCCTTTTTTGTATTAGCTCTGACAATTTTTTTAGCAAGCCTCCACTAATAAAATCAAGCTATGAGGTGGATTGTTTTCTCTACAGAAACCATCACTGTTGACTTTTCCAGCAGTATCATGCAACATTTGCTTCTTCACCATAGTAACAGTAATGACATCAGCAAGGGAAGGAAAAAAATAAGTCTTTTCCAAACAGGGATTTATTTCCTCTAAGCTTCTGAAAATATAGAGCCCCTGAGAAACCACAGGAACAAACCTTTCCATGGGAAGTTCTGTGTATGCTTTAAAAATAATTTGGTTTCTCACTCATTTAATCTGATAACTGCCTATGTAATTATTTTTCCTGTGAAATATAAGCAAATAATGAAGTGTAACCCCAAACAAACACCTGTTTACCACATCTTTCTTTGTGATAGCTAAACACTATATGAAAGAATTATATTTGAACAGATCTGGAGTTAGTAAATAAATTATGTGTTATATATGGAATGGCTATTGACAAAATAATATACTAGAGCCTCTCACCATATTTTCCTTCCCTCCTTTTTCAGAATGAGAAGGTATATGTAGACTGAGAGGGAGCAAGGAAGGAAAAGAATTTAAGAACTGGCTCTGGTCTAAAAAAACCCTCAACTAATCTTGCAGAGAGTGAAAGCAAAATAAACATCCAAGCTTCCCAAATTAGTGAAAACTATCTAATAAATTCTAGAGATCCTATGATAGTTCACAAAATCTGCAATTAATCGACAAACAGTAACTCACATATTTTATGTTTGGAAATATCATGGACATATTTGACCAGGGTATGCATATACACACAAAATAGCATATGCAATACAAACCAGTATGCTGATTTCTTTCCTTGTCATTAAAATACAAAAGTAAGAATAACTGCTAGTCTAGATGTTGAGTTGGAATCAACTTGATGGAAGTTGGCTTGTTTGTTTTTTGTTTTTGTTTTTTGGCTTTGAAGTTATTGGTCCTCTGGGTCAATGTGTACTCTGTATATAAATGGAGTATTTTTTTCTCCCATGAATTCTTATTGAGCTATTTTTATAAGATATAGAGAGGTAGCTCTATAATTATTTTACTCATCCTAATTTTCTTCGAGAGTACTAGTTCTAAAACTACCAGCATGGAATTTTTAAAAAAACATATATTAAAATATTTTCTTGTGTTTTCAGTGTACCATGCAACTCGAGCCTTTGAAATACTTATACATAAATTCAGAAAAAGTTATTATGTAACCAAATATGAAAATGTTGGTTTACACAAATTAAAACAGGATTCTGAATTTTAGGAGTTCTCAGTCTTTAATAAAAAATATGCTCATGATGCTTTACAGGGATAAAATCGGCAACTGATTGTCAAATGAATTTGATGAGGATTCTTTGAATTCTTGCATGTTATCTGGCATGATTTAAGAGAATTTGTATTATGATTCTTATGAAGCACTTTTCCCTAGTCAAAACATAATCCTAGCCTTGTTTAGGAATGACACATTCAAAGGGCTTCTTCACTATAAAAGCACATATTGTGTGCTGAGTCGGTTCCAACTTGGTATAGGGTTTGAACCATTGACCTTGTGGTTGGCAGTCCAGTACTTTATCCTACAGCACCACACCAGGACTCTATAGGTAGTTAGCAGACATAGGTTAAACAAAAAGAGTTATCAATATTTTTAGCTAATACCAATTACAAACACAAACTCTGTGTTTGTACAGTATAGTTAAACTCCTCTCCTTCCCTCTCTCTTTCCTATTCATCTATCCATCATCTATTCATCCATCCACTTAAACACACAATTTGACTTTCCAGAAAAATCTATTAGGGATCTGAGAAGGGACTTATGTCACAAAG